CAATCCATAAACAAGTGCAACGATTTGCCCAATCCATCTCCGGTGCTGTGACTTAATTTAACCAAAGAAAGTTGCCATTTGGGGAACGGACAGGCCGCCGCGTCATCTTACGCCAACATCAGGGGGCCCGATGGCCTAGCAATCACCACGCCCGGGTCCACCACGTGTGATAAAAGTTCAGCAAGTCAGAGCGCGCATGCCGGTCAACAAACTATCAACGCGCAATTGCCGTTACTTGTCGTTGTATATTTGCAGTAACGACTGTATCCCATAAATACCGCAAACTCCTGTGCACTTGCTACTGCTTTCTGTTTATGTCTCTGATGGTGGATCCACGACGGATCTCGAAACGCCAAGCGAATAAACATATGGTCCCAGCGATCGAGTCACCTTGCTCTCGCTTTTGTCTCCCTCAGTAGTGTGGCTAGCTGGTGTAGTGCAACTAATAGCAATGCCGACATGAATATATACAGCAGTATAAACAGCACATCCGAACTTAACGTCAATTAAAAAAAACGACTTCAGAGCAATATCGGGACCCTGTACTTTTCGTATGTGTTGTTGGTTTAGACTTTCTCGTCCGTAACCAGGAGATTCCAGGGAATGCACAGTCACATACTGGCATTTAGTCAAGACACTGTCTATTCTCTTCAAATGCACTCAACGTACAACATCACGAATACAGTACTTCAAAAAAATATCAACAAGTGATTGGCTAGGAATGCTTACCATCGCATGAGACCGAGTTGGCCGACCAATCCCCGGCAGTGATCATATTGACGAGAGTCAGAATTCGAGTGTGGTCAAGCCAATTAGTGGCGCGAAAACGCCGTGACAGCAACTCGAACATTTTGGGCACTCGTTCCTGCAGACAGAAGCTACTAAAGTGGACTGACATTGCACAGGGGTCCTTCAGGTGCTCATTCAGTTGGGCGGAGATGTGTGCCGAGGCGCACACCGCACCAGTGTTGAGGTGTTGTAGATGATCCATTTCAAGGTAGGATAGGCCATCAGCGCCCAGTCTAAACAAGATAAAACAGAAAAAAACTGTTTGTATGCGGTTTATGATGAGGGGTGAGGTACCGAAGAAAAACTAGCCAATTACGGCATCCTGAGCTATGCAACTTCTCTTTTAGTGTAAACGACTACCGAGATTACCTGTGCTGTTGTGCCAGACCAAAACGAGGTAAAAAAGGTGCCTGCAACGCAGTTGAGGTAGTCTTCACATCACGCCAGCTACTGCGTCTGAATTAATCATCTTCAGTCCATTTGAGTAGGACGTGTTCCTAAGATATGAACGAAAAAGGGGAGGGGTTTGGACGATCTACCGCGGACACTGAGCACGATAACCTTATTACGAATAGCCCGAGGCATTCAAACTACAACAACATACCAAGGGTTGTGGTTTGAGAGCGTATATTAGTTCTTCGTCGCCGGTTGAAGGGGAAAAAGTACTTAGTTGACGTTTTTTGGATGCTCCCACGTATCTGCATCAACGCGATGCATCCAAGTCGAGCTCCAGTTGAAACTGTCTTCTGTATATAAGTGGGTTGGCAGAGTTGCCCTTTCCCAATATACACATTTACAAGGCACTTGTTCTGCTTTCTTGATCAAGTAGCATTCATGAGAAACCATCGCAGTGGACAGTGATTGGGTGATTAAGGCCCTCCCAACGCTGTCGGCGACTTTGTGATGATAACATTAAAAGTATCGGATGGTTTGTTTGTTCGACATCAAGGGAATTTCATGGCAGCACAATGAACTAGCACTAATATCTGCAAGTGCTGAAGCGATTGCGTGGGGTAATAAAAAAGACTTGAATTGTGGCGATCGAGTGACTGGCTGCTCTATCGCGTCAACGCGCCTGCTTAAACGGCGTTTGAAATCAATCCCCTTTGTCGAAAAAAAGATATGGCAACGGTTACTCATCCGCCCCCTACAACTTCTTCTTATTCCCAGGAATGTAGAAAGGCCTAAAGGGAAAGCGTCTGAAGAATGTGGAACAAA